CAAGAGAGGTCATCGGTCCTCTTCCAGAGAAAGGTCTCTGTTGGTGCCTGAAGACGGGTGAGATGGCCTCGATGGGGCACTGGTCGGTCCGTTCCGTCCTCAGCAAAATATCGCTCTAAATCCTGCCCACAGTCGCCAGAATTGTTGCAGAAAATGACAGGCTTTAGACTTCTCAGGATACAGGAAAGGTTTATTTGGCAGCCAGGTTTAGAAAGCTAGCCCATGGCTAGAATTGTAAGTTCTGAACAACCTTCATTATCGAAGCATGCATTCTTATACTTTCTCAAAAGCATTGCAACACAGAAATACTTAACTCATTTCTTATTGGTTATTTTGGGGGAAAGACCTTATAAGTAGATGAGGGTGTTCTCTTTTTGTTACAGGTATGGACTATGTGTCATTAATGAACTTTATCTGAACCTTGTGGTTTGGACTTTTGACATAGGGACGTTGGCTAGAACATCTTGTGGTTAGAGGATGAAGACATTTCTTTTAAGCAAGCTTCTAACTATCCTTTTTATGCCACACCTTCATTCTTATATTTTTTAATCCATATTTTATTCTACTTTAACATTGCCACTCTAGGATTCATCTCTCTTGTTCCTGTGATTCATTTCCTGTTCCTGTTGTATTACTCTCTCTAGTAAAATGGTTTCTGCACAATGATTGCTTGTAGTGTGCTTACGCTACAAGGAACAGCTGTAGCCGCGAGACCTCATTTAGTAGATCCGGCTGTTAAAGGCAAAGGAACGTCGCGTTGTACTTTCGTCATTAACTTTCTAGCCAGTTTCTCTATCACACAATAATCCAATGCTCATTGGCTGTTATTCTTTGAAGCACGTCTCCACCAATAGGCCAGGTGTGAAAAGTGTCTTATTTGTATTGGCTAGTAGAGAGAGAAGGCGGAGCTGCTCACAGTCCTATAAAACCAGACTTCCCGGATTACTTTCTTCTTTTTTTTTCCTGGCTGTCGTTGGCATCTGAATTGGGAGGTAAAGGAGCTTTATTTTGCCATACTAGGATTGGCGTTACTGAGTCAAACTGGGTAAGCGGAGCGGCAGCCAGCAATTGAAAAAAGTTCATTAAGAAAAGAGTCTCGCGGCCTACACTTAGCAAGCGGCAGAGCACATGTGCTTGAGAACCTTGGCGCTCGAGCCTTCATTTTCTACCCGTCCCCCGCTTCCTGCACGTGCGCCAGCCTCTGAAGTGGCCGCTTGCGAGCTCAGCACGGTCCTACCTTTCAGGAGTTGCTGAATGGCAGTTTACAGCCTTTCTTGCCAGCACGTCTGAGAATGAGGGTATTATAGGAGTTACCAGCATGTTCCCACTTCTTGGCCCTGGTTTTTGTTAGGTGGTCTATAGGTTAATCAGTTCATGCACCTTTCTTAATGTCCTTCACTGGAATTAGTGACTTCTCTTTTGATGCGTGTAACTTGGTTTCTAAATATGGAACTTTACTTTGCAAATGGATTCTCAAACTTGAATGAAAAAGCCTAAGGGCAACAAGTTAGAATAAGAAAATAAACCCTATTTCTGAGATAACTCTCAAATTTGGGGGAAGTGGGAGATCATTTATTTTGTATTGTATCACATTTATATGCCCCGTCCTCTGACATAACTGATTCTGAAGTGACTCTGGGCGATATACAATAAAGACCTTATACAAGGTCACCCAAAAGCATTTAAAAATAAAATAAGATGAGGGAATGTCTATTGAAAACTGTGAGTGGCTGAATGTTGATAATTCTTTACAGCCTTGCCCATTCAGAGCTAACTGGTGTATTTTTCTTAATATATCAAAGTACAATTTTCCTCCCTTGAGAACATCTAAGAAAGTGCCCGTTAAATGAATACTGAATTTAATAAAAACTGGGATGAAGTAGTGCAAAATAAACTTCTAGGTATAAAAATGTTGGGAGAGGGCTGCCCCTGTTTGTAAACTGCATATATTCCATTCTCTTAACTGGGATCTTTTACTTCCTATTAATTCAGTAAATTAGTGAATACTTTATAAGCAAAGCTTTATGAAAAATGCTTCATAAGGACCATGAAAGCTGGGGGTTTTTAACTTTCATTTCTGTGTGGTCTTTGCCATCCTATCCTTGCCTAATTTGGAAATAGGACACCATGTTTATCCAGGACTAATGGTAATTAATGTGTTACATGTAAGTCTAAACCATCTGTTTAAATTTTAAAAATACCACCTTCCTCTGAATCAATGTCTAGCTAGTCAAAGAGAAAGGGGAAAATAATGGTTTCTGGCTTGGGGCTTGGGTTTGGGGGGGGGGGAGAATAAATAGGTGAGGTGAGACAGATCTATAAAAGTCTAGTGCAGTTCACTGTTGTATAAAAAGGTATTCCCAATTAAGAATGTGAACTGAAAGATGAATTTGGTTTATGAAATGCAGATAATTTGGTAGTGTTAATTGATATTGGATGAGACTACCACTTAGAATAGAAGCTCTCTTTATCAGTTGAGTCTGCCACAAATTTGAGTGGTATGTCAATAGTAATATCTCCAGTGATTTCATTCTGTTACATGGCTTGCATTTGTTTAATATTGTTTGTCCACAGGCTTGGCCTCTGTCTCTTTAGGCCAGAATGCCTGTTGCCAGGAGTTGGGTATGTCGGAAGACCTATGTCACCCCCAGGCGGCCTTTTGAAAAATCACGCCTTGATCAGGAGTTGAAAGACGTATTCATTTAGCTTTTGATTTTAGACAAATTGTGCCATGTGAAGTAAATATGTTAAATGAATGGATAACGAAACTATTAAGAACTATACATTCATAGCTGCTGTCAAGTGAAAACAAACAATGGAACAGTTTCCTGCCTAGGCAGAGGGTTGGACTAGAAGACCTCCAAGGTCCATTCCAACTCTGCCATTGTATTATTATTGTATTGCCTCCTGGAGTTGTGGGTATTCTATTGCTGGAGGTTTCCAAGAAAAGTTGGACAACCATTTGTCCAGGGTGGTATAAGGATTACTGCTTTGAGCAAGGGGTTGAAGTAGAAGACCTCCAAGGTCCCTTCCAGTCATATGATTCTATGAAATAAGTCCCAAAACTGTTTTGTTTTTTCTATCATCTTCCAAAATGCCACAATGTTTGAGAAAAGAATACTCTTTTGTTGGGAAATGACTTCTCCAATTGAAAAATTAAAACAGAAAAAGATCTCATTTTGATGGGATAAATTGGAAGGGGTGATATTTTCCTTAACCAACAAAGTTTCAGATTGAATTCTGTCCAGAAGGAGAATGGGTTTTTAAGAAAAATATAAAAGAGAATTGGAAGCCCCTTGGAGACTTTTGCATGAAATGGAAATAAAATGCATTTTTGATTTTGATGATTTGGGGGAAATAATAGAGAAAAGTGAAGGTTTTTTCTAATCATAGAGTAATTGTGTATACACAGACACATATATAAATAACTTAAGGTGGTAAACATACCGAATAATACTCCATCCTCCAATTTTCCTTATAAGAACAACCCTGTGTGGTGGGTTGAAATGAGATAACTGGCTCAAGGTCATCCAGCTAGTTTTCATGCCTTTGGTGGGACTAGAACTCACAGCCTCCTGGTTTCTAGGCTAGAACTTTAACCACTACACCAAACTGACTTTGTAATATGCAATGCAAAGGAAATTGGAAGCTCCCATTTTTTCTTTCATTCCTTCTGCACGCTTTTCCTTTTTTCTTTGCTTCTGCTCTGCATTAGTTTATATTAGTTTTTAATTTTAATAAAAAATTTATACCAAAATGCCACAAGGGAAGAGGTGTGCTAATCAAGAGCAAGTTTTTCAGAGGAATGGGGCTAATTCTGAGAAGACCTTAAAAGTTGGGGAAAGGATCTGTCCTTGATTGAATAGCTGTGACCCTTAAAGTAACTGCATTTAAACTTTAGAATTCCTTTACTAGGTGAATATGAGCTGCGGAACAAGCGTGAGGTATGGCGAGTGAAGTTCACTTTGGCAAAGATCTGCAAAGCTGCCCAAGAGCTGCTCATCCTGGATGAGAAAGATCAACGGTGCCTTTTTGAAGG